AAGTCGAGGGGGGGGAGGATATCGGGGGCGAGGCCGGGGGGGGTACCCCCACGGTCCTTATGGGAATGCGTCGCAGCCCCCCTACTCCTACCAGCAGCAGGCGGGCGCTTACTCCCCGCAGGCCCTTCCGTCGCGCCAGCAGCAAGGCGTGTACTTTCCCCAACCGCAGCCACAGTACCTGCCAGCTCACATTGGCACAGCGGTCCGGAGCAGTTTGATGACCATGAATGCGCTCGAGGCCCGCGAGTATTTGGCCTCCATGGCGGTGCAGCAGATCGAGTACTATTTCTCGGTGGACAACCTTTGTCGCGATACTTACCTTCGTGCCCATCTCGACGAGGAGGGCTGGGTGCCCTTAGCGCTCATTTGCAATTTCCCCACCGTGGCCAGCTTTGCGGCCGACTACTCGGAGATCGTTAAAACGCTGCAGGAGGCCTCCTCCGTCCTCGAGTACGACGAGGCGAACGAGACGCTGCGCCTGAAAGAGAAGGCGACGGCCTGGCTCCTTCCCAACGGGCGCGGAGGCATGGGTTGCCCTCGGTGGTTGAAACAAGCGCCCGACACGCCCCCGCAGGAATCCAAGCTCCCTCCGGTCGTGCTCCCTAACCCCGAGGCCGGCGGCGAGAAGGGTGAGGTTGCCGAGAAGAAGGCCGACAGCGAGGGCCCACGGCAACCCGTCACCCCCGTCACCCCTCTGTGCTCCCTCTCCTTTTCTTCCTCCGCGTACTCCAGCTCCTCTTCCACCACGTCCCCCAGCACTTCTCAACCTGAGAGCAGCGACGATGACGAGGACGTGGACCGGAGTCCTTCCTCTTCGTCGCAGAGGGAGGTCGACATCCAAGCTGACGGCAACAGCAATACGAGAAAGGGAGAGATGGAAAAGCGCAGTGTCTCCGTCGTCAAGGATGTATGACCGAGGGTCGAAGATGATCTAACTGATGACGAGGAGGGATGAACAAGGCATTGGATGGTAGGTGAAGAAGATAGCTAGGGATTTTCCGTGTATTTCGATAGTTTGAGGAAAGTTTAAGATAATGGATGTAGCGCAGCAAGGTCCAGCAACAAAATCAACAAAAATTAGGATAGAGTGTGGCATGTTGGGGAATGCTTTCGAGAAGAGCGCGGCAGCACCGAGAGCATGCAGTAAGTAAGAGAAATACGATATTTACGACGTGAGCTTTAGGGCCAAGAATAGGAAGATTGGCAGTGACGATGGCATGCTGATCGACATCGGTTGACCCATGCCAGTACCAACGGAAAAGCTTGAAACAGGCCGCGAGCGTCGCTTGTGGTGGTGAAGGCCGGCTTCGCTGCGTGGTTCTACACATACATAGTGCACCTGCACAGGAGAGGCGGGGTCCTGAGAGAGAGGACTGGCCTCTAGAAGAGGGTGTAGTATCCAGATGATGAACATTAAAAAAGGTGTGTCAGGTGTCATCGGAGCATGGGATCAGTGGTTTTGGCAAAAAAAATAATAAGACTTATGTAAGTGTGACATGACAGAGACGAAAAATGGTAGAAGCGGGCTCAGGACCCAGAGCGAGAATAGCAAAGATGACGTTAGTTTGGAAGGGTTATTACGAAAGATGAGGTTTAATATTGACGCTGAAATGATTGGCTTGATGGCAATGCAAAGAGATGTGCCACATAAGCATAGCAAATTGAGAATATGTCCTGCGCCTGCAGCATCCAACACAGAAAAAAGCAGCAGAAAGACATGTGAGGACGTTCCACACCGCAGTCAGAAAAAAAACAAAGAATCGACAAATATTAGCATGTCTCTTCTCCAAGTGTCTAAATCGTGCCCATATCGCTCCCAGCGTTTGATTCATCGGCCGCCTTTCAATGGTTTCCACGTATGTTACACTTTTATCCACACGCGCATCTCGGAGAATGCGCTCACTGGTCTTCCTCGCCTGCTTTCCCGCTCCATCCCCATGCAAGCCTTGTCACAACGCTTCTCCAGTAACTCCCTTACAGCACCATCAACCCTTTCATCAGCTTCGACCATCATACCCCTCCTATCTGCGACTCTTAGGCCCGCTTCTTAGTCTTACCCCCCTTTCCGTCCTCCCCCGCCGGCCTCTTCTTCTCGCCAGACTTCTCCCCCCCTTTGCCCCCCCCCTCCTTGTTTGCGTCGTAAGCCGCCTTCATCTTGCCCATCAGCTGCTTGCTGACAGTGGCATGGTCGACCACCGGGTGAGGGTAGTCTCGGCCCACCACACAGCCCGCTGTTTCTTGGACACCTTTGGGGGCTTTCCAAGGTTCATAAATGTACTTGATTGGCATTTTCCGCAGCACCGGCAGATACTTGCGGATGTACTCGCCCTCCTTGTCCGTCTTGGCCCCGAAAGCCACGGGGGAATAGACCCGGAAGTACTGGTGAAAAAAGGCCGACGCCGAGAGCCAGAGCCAGTTCCCTGTATTCACGCTCCAGTCGGCGTCCAATAAGTACTTCTCAAACACCCTCGCCCCTTCCTCCCAGCTCTGCCACAGGTCCCCCCGAGTCAAAAAACACGCCAGGGCGTGCCGGGCCAGATGGTGGATCCAGCCTTCCTCCCGGAGCTGCGTCATGCACGCGTCAATGAAAGGGTATCCGGTCCGCGCCTCTTCCCAGGCGCCCAGAAGCTCCGCGTTCTTCCCCCATGGGATCTGTCGGCAGATCGGGTTCCCCACCATCTTGTCGAAATTTGGCGTGGCGTGCCCCTGCAGGTAGAAGAACTCGCGCCAGAGCAGCTGCCCTACCAGGGAGACTGGGGGCTGGGTGTGGGGGCCCTTGTGCTGCGCAAGGATGGAGCGCAGGGAGTGGTAAAAGAGGCGGGAGGACAGGGCCCCGTGCTTCAAGTAAGGAGAGAGGACGGTCGTGGAGGGCCGGAGGGCGTTGGGAGAGGTCTTGGGTTTCTCGAACGTGACGATGTACTTGACATTGGCCAGATGCTCCTGCATCCGGGCCAGGGCCGCCGTCTCCCCCCCGGGATACAGGGTAGGGGCATCCGTCTCCGGGTAGCCTATTCCCGAGAGATCAGGGACGGAGAAATCGTCGCCTCGTGTCCGGTCTTCCTCTATCTCCTCGCCTCCAGCATGCCCGTTCCCTTGGCCAGCCTTCTTTCCGTCTTGACCCGACAAATACTCCGGCGCCGGGGGTGGGAGCCGCTTGGCGTCAACAGTCGAAGCCACGGGGGCCACGGGGCCCATGGAGGCGAAGAGCTTCACGAAGGACTGGTAGACTGTGGGCACATCCTTCCCCTGCAGGCGCGCCACGTAAGCCTCGGGGTCGTGAAGGGTGTGCGAGGGGAAAGTCTGGACATGCACCTGGTGCTTCGCGGCAAGCTCGCACACGTGTCGGTCGCGGACCTTGGCGTAGGGCTCGGTGTCGCTTTCGAACGTGAGTTTGCTCACTCCCCACTCCCTAAAAAGCCGGGGCAGGGCCTCCGCCGGTTGACCCTTGACCACGAACAACCGAGAACCGATTTCACGCAAATTGTCATCCAGGTTCTTGATCGTTTGCAGCATGAATCGGTACCGCAGGACGCCAATGACGTCGGGCTTGGCGAAGTGTGGATCGAGGATGAACACGGGGTACACATGCGTGGCTCCTTCACATGCCTCCAACAGGGCAGGATTATCGTGTAAACGCAAGCCTTTCCGGAACCAATGGAGAGAAACCGTGCGAGCTGCCCCTTTCGCACCAGGCTTGGAGACAGCTGTACTGGTCATTGTGATAGGACGGACAAAGGAAGCACTCCGCGGAAGGTACGCCAGTGATAGGGAGATAGCTAGTGCGAGGGTCAATAGGAATTTCCAGGGCATGCAAGGTTTCTTGAAGCCTGCAGGACATAGGATAAGCGATGTCAGATTCATAAAGTGCCAAATCTTACGGTTGTTTATAAGTCTCATCGCATTATGTCTCATGGCGGCCCAGCCTGTCGAACGTGCTGAGGTGGCAATCGTGCTGACCTTGATCGGCGTACCTGCTCCTTTACAAGTTGCTTGATAACTCTAGCTGGTTCATTCAACTCCGGCTACACTATGAAGCTCCATTTAGCAATTTGGATCGACAGGGCATTCCAGACTCCGACACCCACATTTTTAGTGTTGAAGTGTCTTGCGTAAGAGGGTCTGGCGGGGAGGTTAAACGACGATTACTACAACCCAGTCCCCCCCCCTTAACAAGGATTTCGTCTTCTGAAGGTCTAACGTTGGCGTACATCCCACATATGCACACATAGTAATGCCTGGGCTGTGGCTAGTGACTATGCTTTCCTTTTCCTTCGGCGTTACGTATCCAATGGCATCGGCAGTGTCCCAAGGTATTAAGTCCTGTGCGTCGTCTAGATCTCTGCCCTCACCACACAAGCTCTTATCCCTATATGATGCTTACCGTCCCCATTTATTCCGACAAAGCATCAAAAGTATTAGGTTTTGGACATGCGCTTCGTTCACTGTTCAATGTCGCCGCTCCCCTGTCTTTGGAACAGGGCGCGCACTTTTCTCGTACTCAACAACCAAGTGATAAGAGAAGAAAGAGACTCTCTCAGGTTTTAAGCGTCAGCTCGGCAGCCTTCACACCATTGTCTACCGGCAGCAAAGCTGCTACAGCTGCGATAGATCCGGACCACTTTGATATTCCTCCTTTCAGACCGACTCCAGCCTCGGACGAGGACATCGCATGTATTGAACAGCGGCAGTTGGGTCACCCAATAACCTGTGCCGGCGGCCCGCGTCAAAGATGTGCCCACGGGTTTCCTCAAGCTTTTATCTTTCACCCAACCAAGACGACTTTTAATTCTGGTCTTTTTCGCCTGTCCTGCCCTCTGCTCGTGAAGGCCGTGGATGAATTCGAGGCCCAGGGTGAGCAGAAAGGGAGGAGGGTCTGGTATTCCTGGGGAAGCAGGGCTGCAAATGGAATGCTTCATTGATGCTTTTGGAATGCGTGAATTATTCTCTGAATACTTTTATTCTTCAAGTGATTGTCTGAAGCGAAGTGCGTTGGCAGGCTCGCGACGGTTCTTTTCTTCTTCTTGTCATCTCCTTGAGGTCAACACACTCCCGAGCCCCCATTGGCCCCCTTTCGACGAGCCTACCGCCCCATGCACTGCTTGGCTCGTATTCGACGTGATCGCGAAAAAGGGTGTTACCCTCCCTCCCTCCAGTCGCCCTGTGCTTCCGAGTCGGTTCTCCGATCCACCCGTTTCCCTCCCTTCCCTCTCTCCCTCCAGGCGGCCTCCAGGAATTCAACAGGAAATTGGAAAAGTCCCCCGCGATGCAACGTGAGTTTCGGCGTGTCAATGCCCGGCACAGCGCCATCCGCCGCGGGCTTGTGGACCCGGAGGGCCTTCGGAGCTACGTGGAGAAGCTGGGCGAGGCCGGCGTGGAGCAGATTTTGGCGAGTGGTATCGCCGGCGTCAGTCCCACCAAAACGGGAGACTTGAAGTGCCTGCATGCCCATCTGGCGGACTACCTGTGCACACGTACGGGGGGAGGGGAAGGCAAGGGATGGGGGAGGGGAGGGGCCATGCTGCGTGCAAAAGAGGATGTTGCCCTCGCATACCGCGACATTTCCGTTGCCTTACTTTCTGGGTGTATGGAATGGCTCTGTCATCCTCATCCTTCTACACCCTTGTGGCGTCATGGGTACATCCAGAATGACCTGTGTCCTTGATGTCCTCCATCCCCTCTCTCCCTCTTGTTACAGACGACAACGCAATCGGGGAGGAGGTGTACGAGCATTTACGCACCAACCGTCAGATCGAGGTCGAGGGAAACGCAGAGTGCTGGCAGCAATGTAATTTGTCGTTTGAACGCACGCCCTCGTCCTGGTGGTATGTTCCCGTGAAAAATAAACAAAAGCTCCGAAGTCGTTATCACCGGCGGACCGCGCGGAGGAAGGAACATCGAGAACGTGGGGTGGATGAATACGGGGATGGGGAGGAGGATGCGCGTCAAAAGGGATCGAACGAGGAGCAAAGAGGGACAGCAGCTGGCTAGTCGCCAGGGACTGTGAGACTGAATCCGAAAAAGTATCAAACTGGTTGAAGGGGTTCAGCCCTAGAGCCTATAAACAGGCATTTTTTCCTTGTTGTTTTACGCGATATCCCGACACTCTTTTAAAGGGGGTTTTCCGTCCCCCCCTTATACAACTCGATGAGCTTGTGAAGATCATGCAGGACATGCAGGTATGCTTTCCGGACTCGACTTGAGTCTTAAAATAGATTACCTCAAACAGAAATAACCGAAAACAAAGGCGACAAAGTCCTCCCAACATTATTTACAAGGACCCCAGCATGTCAGCATTGAAATGATGACCGAAAATTGAGAACGACCCTTGGGTCCTAGAAAAGGCGGCAGTGTTGAAGCTGGGGCGGGGTAAATAGTCAGCATTTATGGCCGTTTCACAACGCCATTGTGGAGTGCCTTTATGCGCTTACGCCATTACTGCAGGGATAAATTCTTTCTTGTGGGTAGATACGACTCAAGGTCATAGCCAAGGCCTTCGACGCGTTGCTTTCGGTGCGCATCCTCGGTGATTGCACGCCAATGGCAGCAAAACAACCACCATCGAAAGCCTTTTAATTTTCTAGCGAGCCGGCGAGAACGGGGCCTCGGAAACCGACTGAGGAGTCCTAAGCCTTACTTACGAGACATATTCTTCGATCTCCCTGATGATGCGTCTCCTGTAGCGGCACGTGGCTTCGTTGATGATGAATATATCCTGTACACGCTATCCACGGACAGGGCAAAGGCGTTGGTGCTCGTGCTTGTGCCACCAGTGCTTGTTTAAGTCGGGCGGGGCGGACCCTCAACCTTCGTCAGCGGAAAGACACATTCCTGTTCTTGGACTCTGCCTGTTGCCGGTGCACTTGCCAATAGAGTTTTCACGAGGCAAACTCTACGAGGTAAGGTTGGTGGTTGGGGCCGCGGTGGATCGCGGGCCCGCCTGTACGAGTCTATGGGCTCCAGGCTCACGTGCTACGCTAGGGTATGGGGGGTTGTTAGACCATGGGGTGAGCACTAGAGGTGGACGATATGTCCGACGCAGCGGATGCAGTCTGGGCCAGCGTCTCCTCCATATGATTAAAATGTAGCCAATTCTTGTAGAACTTTGTGGCACCTGGCCACGCCCTGAAGGAAGCCTGAGTGCTTGCGGGAGGGACCGACTGCGAGACTCACCTCTCTACCTCTCCGCCTTTCCCTTCATCCTTTTGTCTCAGACCCCAACATTGGAAATATGAATCTTAACATTAATTTAGAAAGTCTGAAAAATATGGTGGACGAGGCCAAAAATCAGATAGTGCCGCGGACCGAGATGGAAAAGCGGATGCACGAAGCCCTTTCGAACAAAAACTGGGGCGCTTCCTCCACTTTGATGAATCAAATTGCGTCGGACACGTACGACTACGAGAAGTGAGTAATGAGGGATGAGAAGGCGGGCACGAAGGCGCCAAACCGGGTGGTGTCGGGGGCCTCAGTCCTTCCGCGCCGTGGGCCCCCCAGCTTACCCCTCCTACCCCTCTTCTCCACCGCCCCCGTTCCTCGCCAGATACCACCAAGTGTTGAAGGCGATATGGTCCGCGCTTGATCTGCCGGGACGAAGCTGGCGGTCGATATTCAAGGCCTTGACCCTGCTGGATCACCTGGTGAAGAATGGCGCGGAGAGGGTGGTCGAAGAGGTGAGGGAGGG